TAAACGTTATGACAAGAAAAATAAGAAAAAAGAAAGACTCGAACCTTGAAAATTTCTACACAGCGAACGATGACAGATTTATGACTGTCGCCAAGACATTCCACCAGTATATATATATTTTTTTATCCTTGTGCCGCGGTGTCTCTTAGGGAGGGGACTGCACGACTCATAAACTCGAATGTGATGGCCAATTCTGTCGTTATTTAGAGGCTTCCTGTCGTTTCGTCATTTATGTTCTCGTTTTTCAACTTCTCTTGCTGCTGTCCCTCTTCCCCCCCCATACGTCCATACCCCCCCCCCCTAAAACGACCCCCTTTTTTCCCCCCTTAAACCCAACCCTTCCTCGCCCCTCTTCCATTTCCTGTAAGCTCTCTGGGAGTCGATGTACATTATAACTGAAGACAAGGGCGGATGTTATGGGAAAACATATGCGGGGATTAGTCACTATTGCACTACAAGACTGTGAAGGAATCTAACGAATTCTGTGAACAGATATCGACACATGCTAATTTCTCTCAGCCATTCACCCTCTCTCTATATCTATTTATTTACATATATTATCTGTGCCGTGTGTGTTTGTGTGTGTGTGCGTGTGCCTTTTGTGAGTGTGCGTGCGAGCGCCTGCGTATGCCTCTTCATTTACGTACCCTGTCTCTCTTCAGCCTTCATTCTCATTAACAAAGTGCAAATTTTGTCAAGCTCAAAAAATAGGCCAGTATCATTAATGAACATGAGCGCAGCTTAAGCGCACGTCCTCTTTTTCACTTATTCCAATCTCTCTCGCGGCCGATGAAGCATTTCAGAGAGGGAGAAAGTTATCTAACTCGAACCGACTTGCCAGGCTGAGAGGGCTAGAAAGGGAAAGAGAGGAAGAGAAAGAGCTAGAAAGATATATATATATATACTATATATATATATATATAATATATATATATATATATATATATAGAGAGAGAGAGAGAGAGAGAGAGAGAGAGAGAGAGAGAGAGAGAGAGAGACCAATAGAGAGTCATGAGAAAAGAGAGAGAGGAAGAGAAAGAGCTAGAAAGAGAGAGAGTAAGAGAGAAAGAGAGAGAGAGAGAGAGAGAGAGAGAGAGAGAGAGGGAGAGAGAGAGAGAGAGAGAGAGAGAGAGAGAGAGAGAGAGAGAGAGAGAGAGAGAGAGAGAGAGAGAGAGACCAGTAGAAAGATACGAGAAAAGAAAGAGAGAATAGAGTGAGAGACTGAAAATGAGTGGGGTGAATGATCGAGCGAAAAAGAACCCGAGTAAATGAGTGTGAGAGCAAGGGAGAAACAAAGAAGAAAAAGAGGAGAGAGAGAAAGAAAAAAGTTGTGTCCCGCGTAAGAGATTGGGCCATGAAGCCTCGCCATCACACCACCGAACAAGTTTCGAAACACGGCGACAACGACCTGCTGTAATGGCGTGAGAGAGCTCTGGCCGTTCGATTTTGGACCCCGTGCCGACGAGCCGCCGCTGGAACGAGGCCGTGCCTCTTCTCTTTTGTCGTTCCCTCCTATTCTTCTTATTGCATGAATCGCCGCTTGTCACAGTCGGAGAGCCGGCGACGATGCAATCCCCCCGCCGCGTGTCCCGGATTCGAGAAGGATATTGGATAAGCGGACCGAAAGAACGAGCCGCCGGGAAGACGCCTCTGCGTTCGGCTGGAGACCCGACTCGGGCGAATATTTCTTTCTGTTTTTAAGGTCAAACCATTTTCCACAATTACATATATAAGGGTTCCACAATTCCGAGGAAGCAAGCACTTTTTGATAAAGACTATCTACAACCATGGTTTTGAAAGAAAAGCTTATTCTTGCCATGTGAAGAAGTCATATGTAAATTGACTTACAATTTATGCATAAAACATACTACAGCAACGACACATGACGAAGTAACCCTCCCGCCCACACAAGCAAACAGTACCCGCGGGGTATGGAAGGTCGCGGAATCAAAATGAAGTTAAAAATTATATATATAATATATAATTATATACTACATGTAAGTGTAATGTGTATCAGATAATAAAATAATAAATACATTATATATATATATAATATATATAGTATATATATATATATATAATATATTATATATATATTATATATATATAGCTTAGATAGATAGATAGATAGAATAGGATAGATATACACACACACACACGACACACACAATGCAACACACACACACACATCGCAATAACACAACCACACAACCACAACATATAATTTATGTATATATATAAAAACATATACACATATAATGTGTATGTGTGTGTGTGTGTGTGTGTGTGTGGTGCGCGCGCGCGCGTGCGTGTGGTGTGTGCGTGGGTGTGTATGAATGTATGTATGCGTGTCTGCATGTCTGTATATGTGAGAATTCGCGCACAAAATTCTCTGCAAAATGTTTTGTCGATGTAGCCGTAGGAGATTTTGATGATGATAATTTAGCAGATAATGAAGATATATGTATGCAGAGACCAAGAAATACTAGTCTGGTTTGTAAAAAGGAACAGGAATTCAATGAATAAAAGGAATGTATAGAAAAGAAAAATCAATGACAACAGCCATATACCCCAACCTCCACACATTTTTTTTTTCTATCTGACAATATTCTTCACATATCACACACTTTTCCCTTCCTTTGACAAGCGACGACCATGCTCAAGGAATTCATGAATATTCTGTCCGATTGGAAACGGTCGCCCTTCTAACTCAGCTGTATCTATATAATATTACTGAAATATGTATGCTAAAGTTATTTCTTATATTCTAGTACATTAAATCCTTGTGTGTAAATCGTATATATATATATTATTATGATTCAAAAGTATGTGCGATGGAAGAAGAGAGCAGGAAGAATAAAGGCAGAGCTAGAGAGAAAAGAGAGAGAGAGAGAGAGAGAGAGAGAGAGAGAGAGAGAGAGAGAGAGAGAGAGAGAGAGAGAGAGAGGGAGAGGGAGAGGGAGAGGGAGAGAGAGAGGAGAGAGAGAGAGAGAGAGAGAGAGAGAGAGAGAGAGAGAGAGAGAGAGAGAGAGAGAGAGAGAGAGAGAGAGGAGAAAGAGGAGAGGGGAAGGAGGAAGAGGGCGAGGAGAGAGAGAAAGAGAGAAAGAGAGAGAGAGAGAGAGAGAGAGAGAGAGAGAGAGAGGAGAGAGAGAGAGAAGAGAGAGAGAGAGAGAGAGAGAGAGAGGAAGAGAGAGAGAGGAGAGGAGAGAAGAGAGGAAGGAGCGGGGAAGGAGATAAAGGGGGGAGGTGGTGGAAAGATAGAGAGGTAGGCAGAGACAAGAAAGAAGAGAGAGAGAGAGAGAGAGAGATGAGAGAGAGAGAGAGTGAGAAGAGAGAGAGAGATGAGAGAGAGAGAGAGAAAGAGAGAGAGACAGGAGAGAGAGAGAGAGAGAGAGAGAGAGACAGAGAGAGAGACAGAGAGAGAGAGGAAGAGAGGAGAGGAAGAGAGAGAGAGAGAGAGAGAGAGAGAGAGAGAGAGAGAGAAGAGAGAGAGAGAGAAGGGAAAAGAATGAAGACAATCAGATGAAAATAAAAACAAACAAACAACAAAGAACAGAGTGAGCAAGACAATTCTTAAGAAAAAACAAGAACGGGAAGAAAAGACGTTCATTAAAACAAAATGTCCCGGTGATAGTAAGCTCATGATACGTAATTGTTTAATCCTGCAAGAGGTTTTTACGTAATGAGGCATTTTCGGGTAATGAACATGATGCAGACAGACACCCTGCCTATGCGTTAGCCGGCAGCAGAGGCGCACACACTTCCCACACGCTCTCTCGTGGCCTTGCAGCAGTATTTCTTTCCCGATGATGCAGAAGTCGCACTGTATTTTTTTTTCTTTTTTCTTTTTTTTTTGTATGCAAGTGTGTTAATGAGTGAGCGAGAGAGTAACAGTTGTGTGTGTGTGTGTGTGTGTGTGTGTGTGTGTGTGTGTGTGTGTGTGTGTGTGTGTGTGTGTGTGTGTGTGTGTGGTGTGTGTGTGTGTGTGTATGTGTGTGTGTGTGCGTGTGTGTGTGTGTGTGTGTGTGTGTGTGTGTGTGTGTGTGTGTGTGTGTGTGTGTGTGTGTGTGTGTGTGTGTGTTGTGGTGTGGTGTGTGTGTGTGTGTGTCTGTGTGTGTGTGTGTGTCTGTGTGTGTGTGTGTGTCTGTGTGTGTGTGTGTGTGTGGTGTGTGTGTGTGTGTGTGTGTGTCTGAGTGTGTGTGTGTCTGTATGTTTTGTGTTGTTTGTGTGCGTTTAAATTGGAGTTAGGATGAATAACATACTTCACAGACAGACATGCATATTTCATCCTTTCAACATATTTCAAAGCAAACATGGACTCAACTCAAATATTCATAAACCAAAACACGTTCTCACACAAAGAGACGGGTCTAGCTAAAATCACACAAACACAGACCTCTACTCAAGTAGGCTACACTCAAAACCCCCTTTCCTTTCCCCTTCGTAAGTTTAGACGTTACACAAAAACCCAAACCTCTCCTTAGCTTAAAACTCCTTGTTAAGCACAGCGACCATACAGTTACCTCACATCCCCGAACACACAGTGAGGACAATAAGGTAACTTTCGTGTCGTTAGAACAGAAAGTTACTTAATTGCCAGAGAGATCCCTTTCGTTGATCTCCTCTGCCGGAGGAAATGCTCTCGTGACCCGAATCATGTGCAGAGTCAAGTGTGAGGACGTCTTCACGGCGACTCTTAAACTCTTTCGCCCACTGCACCAGGACGCTTTGGTGGCGGGGAGATCGTCGTGGGCTTATGCGAACGGCTTCGTTAATTTCCAAGGCATATTGTGTGTTGCAGATGTTTTGTTGTGATTCTGTTCGATGCTTTACCTTGTGCAATTTTGCTGCACCCGTAAATCATGAGTCCGGGGTCTGGTGTTGCAGTTCGTCCGTGGCCTAATCTCTGAGGAGTTTTTTTTTTTTTTTTTTTTTTTTTTTTTTTAACTAGTTGCAGACACACTTTTTTTACATTTTTTTAGGTTGTTATCTATGGACAT